CTCAGTTATCAATGACTGAAAAAAGCCAATGCAGTTCTGATAGACTTCCATCCCCTTCTGGTCACTCATTTCTCAATAGATAGTTTTATCAGCTGCTGGTTGTAACCCATTTGAATTGGTAGGGGCTAGACTCAGCAGCATAGGCTTTCTGCAGCACTGACTTGTTGACTGTATTGAACATTGAGCAAATTAAGATGAAAGAGCGTGGAGAAGCCTTCGACTTTGGAAGGGGAGTTGTAGTCAATATTCACTTAATATTGAGCCATATCCTAATAGGGAGGTGACACTGGGAATTAAAACAGATCAGTTAAGACATTTGAATCGAGTGGAGGCAGACAGCTACATGACCTCAGACATTGTAAGAGTGTGTTGTAGGTCTGTGAGATTTTCTTTTAGGACTTAAAACCAACCTAAATAACATCTAGCGGGAGGACCTGCGCACATGCCAGTGAGTAGGAGTGTAGCTATTGGAGGAGGGAAGCAAGAGGAGATAGGTGAAGCCAAAAGAAAGAGGAAAAGGGGAAGTTTGTAGACAGTGCAAAGGATTGAGGTTGCATTTGAAGTGGGAAGAAGGCAGCTGTAAACATCCTACTAATTCATTGTTTCTTCCCTTCAACTTCAAAACTTAGAAGAGGAGGAAGAGGGTGTATATGTAATTGAAAGAAAAAAGAATTGTAGATTTCTGCGTATATGCGCGTTCACATGCATTTGCACTGCTCAGTCAGAAGCTAAACAGCTGAAGGGATGTAGGGCAGGTGTGATTTTTGGACTTCCTCCAGTCCCATTGAATAGAAGGCGTGGGGGCAGTTCTGATTAATAGTGAAGAACATCTTTCATGGTTTCTGAGGGCTAAAGTGAATTTTATTGACTGACAGCTATGTTTAGGCACTGGCAGGAAGTATACATGCTGTACACTTGTGGAATGGTCAGCTTTGAGCTAAGCAATAGGAATCCGCAGCTGGTGGGGTGTTTATGTGATGAAATGCTTGTCCAGTAGCAGAATGCCTTGTCTCACCTGGGTAAACATCTGCCACCATTTTTGGGAGGGATGCATGCCTATTGTTCCTAAACCATACAGATATTTCACTAAAATAATACTGATCCATATTAATTTTGGTTTAATTCATGAATTGTTTAAGCAAGACAGAATGAGATATATTCATATTCAGATTTTTTTTTTTTGAGTGTAAAAAATGGAATTAATACTCAGCTTGAAAGGGTAAGTGGCCATTGGCATTAGGTAAAATGATGACATGAGCCATTCTAAAGTTATACCAAGATACTGGAACATAGTTACAGCTTGCACTGATGCTCTAATAAATTGTGGTCTTGAAGTGGAGTATATTCTTTTCTTCCCACAAACTGATGAGTATTCTGTCCTTTCAAACCAGTGACTTTACCTAATGCTTGTGACTTGTCCCATATGGTCATCATGTGCTAAAGGTAGAAAGTGAGCTAGGAAGATCAGAGCACTTGGGAATTAAAATGCCTGGATTTTGTTTTCAGTTGCCCATGAGACTTCTGGAATAACCTCTTCATCAAAAACCACCCCCCAAATACCACATCATGGATGTTAAACATGAAAACAGCGTGGGGAAAATGCTTTAAGGAATTGCATTAAATGTACTAAGTGCAAATATGAGTGTTACAGTGATAGCTATTTATTTTTGCTTGTGCTTCTATCCTGGATGTCAAGCAGGTGGTTTGCCTAGATGACGGCTGTACAGTCACATGAATCTGCTTTTTTGTTACAGTAAAGCTAGGTCACATTGCTGTCGGCACCAGAAAGCAGCTTCTTTTGGACAAATACTAGTGACTCTTCTGATGTGAGCTTTGCTGTAAGAGCTGTTTAGCATTTTGGTGTTTGGTCCTTCCTTCCTTAGTTTTTCAATTTAATGTTTTAGTTCTGTTGTAGATCTACAGTCGAAGGTGTTGAGAGTATTGTGTGTTTGACAATGCCTGCTTATCCACTGGGGCCGCTGAGTCTGACAGTCTGAAACAAGAGGTGAAAGGGATGAGATGGAAACTGTCTAGGCTTCTCATTAAGACTTGCTGTGGTGCAATGCTTCTTGGTGTCTGCTGTTAGGAACCTCAATTTGGAGGTAGCGAAGATTGCTGGAAAAGGGTTTTTGCTCTCTGTTATCTTTTGTGACGCTGAGGCTAAAACTGGTATTTCCCAGAGCTGTTTCGTGAACTCCTTTATATGCTGTTTGGCTGGCAAGTCAACTCTTGCTGTCCAGACAATAAAAACTGGCATAACCATTCTGAACTCTATATGGTCTTCTGAACAGTATGTACATCTATGTATGAGTGGCAAAACAGGCTTGGGGCCCCTGGATGCTGCTGTTTACATAGTATTTTTGTATGCTTTGAAAAGCAGTGAGATGTTTTACTCTTCCAGAACAAAGCTGTCAAAGGTACAAGGTGAATTTTACTCCTACAGTATCTCAGGTTCAACTATTCTGTAATGGAATATAACTGAAACTCTTAACAGGCTTAGTTCTTGAAAGGTTGGAGTCCTTACCGCGTCTTTTGTGGATGGGTTTTGCAAGAGCTGTTGTTTATTGGAAGAAGGAAACTGGGAGAAACATCTGGGAGGCTTTTAATTCTCTGTAACTTCTGGTAAAGAAACAAAGTAATTCTTGGTGTAGCTAATTAAAGTGTCGGTGCTTACACTGAAGATTTTAGCAAGCATTGTTAGGAACTGTTTTTCCATGGGCTTAAAGGGAAAGTGTGTAAAGCTGACTGGCTTATCGTTTGAGCTCTGGAGAAGTTGGGCCAGGTCGCTGCAGTGCCACATTGGGAAGAACCATCTGATGTGGCCTGAAATTCAGGGTTTGCTTTTGCAGTCGGGGAGAATCCAAGGCAAATTGCGTCTCTGAAGAGTGTTCTTAGAGCCGATCTCTTGATACCAAGTACTTCAAATCTCAACCAGTATTGCCAGGGTCAATTTTTTTTACCTCTTAAGACTTCAGTATTCTTGATTTTTGGGAAAGAGGGGAACAAACCTCACTAATGCTAATCTTGATACCCTGGCCTTGTGACCAAGGCAAAAAAAAAACCAAACCCCAAAACCAACGCAACCCAAAAAGCGGGGAATTAGGGGATTACCTTTTAAATGACAAGGATTGTTGCAGTAAAGCAGATGTCACTTATTTATATGTGCTGAGGTAAAAGGCTAATCATAGAACAGTTCAGCAAATAAAATGCAGGGCTGCTATCAGAATTACACTTTCAACCTGTTTACCAAAAAAAAGTTTCTTTCTTTTCCTGGCTTCCTTCCATTTATTTCTTACGGTTATCAAAGAGGAGGGTGAATTTTCCATGCAGCTTTAGTCTGCTTCTATTTATGCTTCTCTTTCTCCCTCTGAGCAGACATTAATCTCTTTTCCATTTTCCTTTTTTGTTTGTTTTTCTGTTTTCTCTTCAAATGGGTAAATCTGCATCTCACCTTCACATGAATGTTTTGGGGAAGGGCTATATGTGCTGTGTAGTGCTTGGCAAGTAATTGACACCCTTTGCACTAATGTGCTTTATTTATTTTTAATTTGTTTGTTTGCTTCATGGGGCAGTTGGATGCATAAAAGCAAACCATCTATAAGAACCTAAAAGGTAACATAAGAGATGAGTACAGTTAATGTGGATTCTTCAGGAGCAAATCCTGCCAAGCCAACCTACTTTTCTTCTGGATCTTACAGGTACAGAAGAAGTAGTAGATGTGTGTATCTTGACTCTGAAGTTTTCAAACTAATTTTCTCATGAGAAGCCTATGAAAACAATGAACAACTGGAAATCCCCTGAAAGGCATACAAAATGGTTCGATTCTTTTGTTTGAGCGTAGTAAGAGGTTCAAGATAAAGTAAGGACATTTAATGGGGTTTTGCAGAGTCTTTAAGCAGTCTCTCAGGATTCACTGGTTTTTGCAAATTTGCTAGATAAACTTTATGTAGCGTCGTGAAATGGATCTCCTTCTGGTGGTGACGCTGTGCTTGAAGGATGTGACAAGCTGGCAAAAGAGTGTTAAGTAACCTTGGATGCAGTTCAGTCGGGACAAATGCAGAATATTAGGCTTTGATAAGAGTAATCAGGTGTGTAAGTGGAAAGTGGATGAGGATTGGACAGGCGGCAGCTCTACAGAGGAGAGTTTGATAGACAAACTGAACATGAGTCAACCGGGTTGCGGCATTGCACAAGCTGCAGACATTGTGCTGGGCTGTACAAACAAGTGTGTTGTAAGTCAGACATGAGAAGTCACCAGCAACGCTGGGTAGAGCAGAGGTAAGTTTCCTCTGCAGGGTCTAGTTTGGGGTACCATAGCCGAGATTTTTAGCAGAGAAGGGAGAGGTCCCCCAAATAGAAATAACTTCTCCATCGTGGTAACTTTCTTTGCAACACCCTCTCACATACTTGAAGGGAGTAGTGGGGGTAAAGAGGGCGGGGAGGGAGCTGTGCAATTTTCCACATCTTGTAGCAGCAGAACAGGGAGCAATTTGCTTAAACTGCGCTAAAGGTGATCTGAGCTACCTTTTGGAAAAATCTAAATGCATGAGTAGTGAAGGACTGGAGAGAGACTCTCTGGGGAAGTTGTGGAAGGAAGGTTTCTTAATAAGCAGATGTGACGAGCATCCCTTGAGTGCAGATTCTGTAGAGTTGCAGAGTGATTGCTATGGAACAGCAGATTTCTTTTGTTTTTTCTTACAGCCCTATTCGATTCTGTAACCTGAGCCATCGTAATTAAAGGGCAATAAATGCCCAATGTGTGCTTGCAAAATGCCTAAAACTTTGGTCCTATTACAAACAAAATCAGACTTTGAACAAGGGGAAGCACCGTCAATGATAACAGTGGTGCTAAGAGTGGGTAATAGTGGCTTTGCCTTTTGCTGGGAAAGTGGCCGCTTTACTGTGGGTGCACATGTGGCTGTGGACTGCTGAAACCCAAAGCATCTGCGCCGAAGCATGTACACCTGTGCAGCATCCACCGCAATCTTGCATCCTGAGCACATGTCCCCATCTGCAGTCTGGTTCACATCAAGATGCGAGCTAAGTGTGTGGCATCATCATCCTTCTTCCCCTTCCTCCCTCTGCGCCAGTGAGTGCCTCCCTTCTTTGCAAGGAAGTCCAGGCATGGAGGAAGGGAGAAGCAGGACTGCGCTGTGCGATGCATCCTAGGTTTCACTTCAGGTGCACACAGCCAGCTTGGACAAAGGTTTTGCTTCCTAATGCATGGAAGCTGAAGCTTTACATGTAGGTGGGTTTGTTACAAACTTTGTCAGTGCTTCTGGTTTTTGTTGCCAGATATATGCCTATAAAGGACATAGTGCTGCTCTGCAGGCTATACTGACAGTTTGGTTTCTTCAGTTACAGGAAAATATGGGGAAATGCTTCATTTTGGTAATATAAACAACACTGTATTTAATAGCACTTATGTTAATCAGATGTAGAAATAAGTACTTGTCTTGGTCATACATCACATTTTGTTGCTGAGCTATTTGGTCCTGGAAAGGGAATATTTTTGCTAGTAGTAATGTAGATGAAAAATTGTCACCACTTAATATACTTCAGTAAAAAATATTCTCATTTTTTTGTTTGTATTTTTGTCAGGGTTTTTTATTTTTCTCTATAATACTGAAATACTCATGCCAATTTAAATTTTTGCTTTACTCTCTTCTGTTTCAGTCTTGTTGGTCATCTTGTTTACACATGTATTTTGATTATTTGTCTCTCTCTTGCTTCCCAGGAGACAAAGATGGCAGCAAAGTGACTACAGTAGTGGCAACTCCCGGGCAAGGTCCGGACCGACCACAAGAAGTTAGCTACACAGACACCAAGGTGATCGGAAATGGATCTTTTGGTGTTGTGTATCAAGCCAAACTCTGTGATTCAGGAGAGCTTGTGGCCATTAAGAAAGTCCTGCAGGATAAAAGATTTAAGGTGAGCGTATGCATAAGTTCAGAATGTTTTCATGGATGTTATCTCATTTTCCAAGTCTTTGATGGCAATGTTTTCGATTTTTTTTTTTTTTTTTTTTTTTTAAATTTATTTTCATTGCTGCATGTAAATGCACATAAAAATTTCCAAGACTGAAGATTAAACAGATGGTTTATGACATAGTTTAACTTGATAATCAGTGAGTCACTGTTGTTATGATTATTTGGATTAGTGCAAAACAGGAAGCTAAAAATCCTGATTTGATGTTGTGGTGCTGTTTCCAGGTCACAGACTAGATTTTTCAGACAATGAGCTGGGGAAACAAGGGAGAAGCTTGTCTTATGCTTACTGTTTTCTAGCATGACTCCTTTCCAGTCATTAGTAATTAAGCTGCTGGAAGGAACCAAAGCTTTTGGGTTTTGTTCTTGGTTGTTGCACCTACAAAGTGGAAGGCTGTATTTGTGTAATTCAGAAAGTCCCCAGGCCAAGTAAGAAGATGACAAATACTGACCCCAGGGCAGCTTGGACTGAAGGAGAGTTCCTTCCCTTCGTTATCTGATTTATAAATGTGATTTATTTTGGTGGTTTTAATAGACTAGTTATTCTTTATTCTAAACAAGTAGCCTTCCAAAAAGCTATATTTTTATCTGGTGGTATTTAAACCAAATAAAAGTTAAGGACCATCAGCAAGCGCATCAATGCTGTCAGTCCTTTGCTCAGTACTTGGTGTGCTTGACTGCTTTCCCTTATAGTCAAGTGGTCTGCAGCTAAACTTGTGCAAGCAGTGAATGATAGCAAAGATACTGGCTTTAGAATCTGAAATTAATGGTGCGGGTTTTAGCATCTGAAGGCCACAGTTTTCATGTCTATAGAAGCATAAGGACAGTATATACAAAAGGTGCCATGGATGATCTTATTGGCATGGTCTAGATAAAAAAACTTCTGAGCTTAAAAATATTTGAAGCGTATTTAAGGAAAATCAGCAATTTGAAACTTCTTTTTTACAATTTGGTACTTACTGTTAGTTTTAGAAATGCTTCTAAAGGCTATTGGATGACTTTTTTATTGTTTCCTTCTCAATTTTCTCATTTTTTCAGTAAGACTTCATGCACAGCTAGCTTCACTGGTAATGTTTGTAATTGGTGTCCTGTTTTGGTAGCAAACCCATTCTTTTGAAGTGTTTTGAAGGAACTGGTGTATGCCTCTTCCTTGAGTCTTGACGCTGTTATCACCACAGGCATCAGCATATCGCAGATGCATTAGATGCAGAATGGAAAAGGAAAGATATGTTTAAATTAATGTAATCATGCACTATTGTTTAACTTCTAATTGAGAAAGGCGTGTAAAGTTCTTACATTGTTCTTACATCTGAGCTATTTTGGGACTGTGTTACGTGTTGAAGGCAATTAGCACTGAGGAAGCATGCAATATGATATAAGAGTGGATTATTTTAGAAGAATGGAAGAGGCAGAGGAATAACAGAAGCTTTAAAGCTAGTCATGCTTAAAAGAGCCTTTGGATCTGTTCCCATAGCATAGTTTTAGGGGGAAGGCCAGGACATTTCCCTTACTATGTCATGCTTGGTGGATATCAGCTAGTGCTTTGGACCAAAATCTTTGATTTCTTTAGCCTCATGACTTTGAGGTTGTGTAGGGTGTCAAAAAAAAAAACTTGGTTGAGCATTTTAATTCCTGCCCATCAGATACTTGTAGTTTGTAACATCTTAATATTTTTTTTTTATACAACTCTATTGGGCATCTACAATAAAATCTAGGTCTTTGTTTTTCTTTCAGTAGTTGATTCAGTGGCATTTTGTAATCTGACTATGTATCTCTTTATTTTGGAGTGTTTCTTGAGTGATTAGAAACAATATGACATCTTTTGAATGTTAGCCCTCTTTTTGTTTAAGGAAAAACCCCAAAAAGCTAAAAGCTAAGTAGGGCGTTTCCAGCTTGGAGTCTGAACTAACTGCCTGTGTATGATGACAAAAGCTGAGAACATCCAGTACCTGGAGGCTTTAATTACCCCTGAACTAGGTGGAATTAATGGTAACTGCATGTGTAGATTTACAGATAGATAGTATTAATTTAATTTTTTTAACTTCATAATTCGCATGGGTCACATCTGCAGTGGTACCCAAGTTATGCATTTTTTCATATTCTTATCCCAAACTTATACCCCAGCTGCATGACATCATGTACCTTTGGTCTCAGCTCCCTAGTTCTTCCCGTCATTCATCAGCTTAGTCCTCCCTTTCTTTTCACATTCTGATCTGGAAGTGTATGTTCTGTTGGCAAGAGGTGTAAATTCCTGCAGGCTGCATGAAAGCCTCTGCCTGGACGGATTTGGAAGCTAGAGGCATGTATCTTATATCAAGAATAGCATACAATTGCTTCAGGGTATGCAACTCTTTGGGAACATCTGATCTAGGTTGTAAATACAGGACCAGACCCTTTACCAGTTAAACAGGGAACTTTGAAAGTCTGTTGGCCAAACAGTTTGATTGCAGTGTAGGAGCGGACCAGCTCTCCTGCTTAGAGAGCTGAGCTGTGGTGTGCAGCTCAGCTGGGCTGTAGCCACCCCCACATGGCTGCCTGGGTCCAGATCCAAGCCCTGGTGAGTGGAGTTCCTTAAGAAACCTCCCACTTTTTCCCTCTCACTAATGTACACCCCTGCTTGGGCAGTGATGAGGGAAACCCTGTTGTAGACAGCCAAAGGTGGCAGTAGCTTGTTTGATTTCAGTCAACTTTATCAACTTCTGGGGGAAGAGAGGGAGCACTTTAGAAACAACCTGTCTGCCCTAGTCCCAGCGGTGGAGAGGCAAGAAGAGAAAAGTAATGCATGGAAGTTGCTTCCTGAAGCATAGGTCATCAACGAAATTTTCAGCTGTATGCTTCAAGCTGGTGCCTGCTTATCTCTATATCCTGATGGAATTATCTTGGTACAGGCAGTATAATTCCTTTGTTGTGATTTAGCTCTTAAGAAAATGCTTTTCTAAAAAGCCAGCAAGAACTCTTAAAGGGTGCGATTCAGAAACTTTAGGAAGTCCCAAGAGAGTGTAACTTCTAGGCTCCTTCTGTGTTTTGTGAATGTGGAAGGAGTCTATTGTGAAGATGTGGAAAATGGACCACAGTTGCCAATTTTTAGATCTCTCTCAGGAAGTTGAGGTACTTTTTATCCACGTTTAAAGCTAGCTTGAAAGCTGGAATTAAGAGGGGTGTGTGTCTTTTTTTCTTTTTTCCTTTTCCATTACTGTGACAAGTTTCTCAGCAGCCTCCGCTGAAGTGGAAGCCGCATTGATCTATGCCAGCACAAAGTGAGAGTAAAATCTTTGCTAAAGAGTTGAATAATACCATTTCTGTGATGGTATAGATAGCTTGCAGTGTTCCTACTTCTTTTTACTCCCTTGTTGCAGTTTAGTGGTTCTTCAGCTTGGCAGTGCAGTTCCTGCATGGCTATGTTTTAAGCAGGGTCTCTGAAGTGCCCTGGGATTTAAAATGAGTATGCCTAGAGTTCAGTGTAACCTAGAGCAATAGTAGTAGTCCACAAGGGAAAGAAACAAATGGAGGAGGAGAATAAATAAAACAGAAATTTATACTTAATTTTGGTTTGCAGTTCTTCTGCCTTCGTTAAGCTCGATCTCCATATTAATTGTGAGCAACTTAAGTAATACAATTTTGGACAGTTACGTGATATTTAGGTGAGTAGTTCACAAACTACATGCTGTTTATCATTCATCTGTGGGACCACTGAATTTGTCTCTAGTCAGTATGAAGGGTCATATTTTCATTGGGGATTTTTCAGTTAAAAATTTAGCAAGGGCAAGAGACAGATGTTCCTTTTCAAAAAAATGGTGTAAGACAGCTATTCACAAGCTTTTGGGGCCAAAATCCATTCAAATGGCACAATTTCCTAAAGTCTATGTCCCAGCTTTCATAGATCTATACTGTGTTTCTGCTTCTGTCCCACAGATGCTTAAGAATAGGTCGTCATGCAAAACATTGATAGATATCAGTGCAGTTAATTATTTTCATCCATTTGTCTGTGCAAGCCCTTAACTGACACAGCCTAATTGTGATGCTTGAAAAGAAAATACTGGTAGCATAAATTTTCTTGCACTGCTTTTGTTGGCATGTTCATTGGAATATTCTTCAGATTAAGAGTCAGTCATGTTGCTGTCTAATTCTGCAAAAAGCAATAATAAGCAAGGAAGTATGTTAGCACAAATACGGAATTCGCAGTCTAGTTTTTATTATTTCTGTCATTCCATGCCTGTTCTTAAGAAATCCTGTTGGAATGAATGCATGAATTGCTAGAAATATTTCTCAGCTGACTGAGAATAAATACTTAAATTCTTCATATCTGAAAAGCGGTACTTAATGTTTCTGCTTTAGCACTAGGCTGTCGCCATGTAAATGATGAAGAGAGTTCTTAATAATCCTGCATTTTTTCAGGCACCCTAGATTGGACATCACATTTCTTGTTAATGGCTCACATAGACCTGAAGTGTGCAGCAAGAGAAAGCCAAATTCTGTAATGAGAACCATTCATGACATCCAGTCTGTCAAATCATTCAGGAACTGCCTAAGTTTAGCACTCCAACTGTGTGTGCCCATGGCTTAGTTGCCTGAATTATTCAAATGGGCAGATCTTCTGGAGTGTGAGAGGATGTCAAAGTAGGGCCCTGACGGTCCGTGTTGATAAAGCTGAGGCCACTGAATAGTGGGCAGTGCTCTTTCCTATTTTTAGCTATGGAGGAATATATGTTGTGACTATTTGCATGGTAGGTTTTGTGGGTTTTTTTTTAAAATACATAAAATCCCAGTGTTAATCTGAGCCTTAAAATCCAGTGAAGCAGCAGGATGGAAAAATAAATCTATGTTGAGGTTCTGGTTTCTCTCTTTCTCTGCTGGGTGTGTATACTTCTGTGAGCTGTTTGAAATGCTTCTGAAAGAGCAACAGCTTTCCTTCAGTTCCTGCCTCGAATATATCAAGGTGCTACA